ATATAAAACTGTTTTTTAACCAAACTGACAAGTTTATCCAGTAAAATTATTGTGTAATTTAAAGGCATTGAAACACCTGAACACCTTAGAAGATATTATGATTAACTACAAACACCTGAAGCTGACTCAGAAAACCCTGTGATTTTAGAAATAACTAAGTCAAACGTAGACACGTACAAGACCCCCCACCCTCACTCTGTGCAGCTGCGGTCCGCCTCCACCAGCGTGTGATTTATACAGATTTTTTATGCTCATTATTCAAGTAACCGTCTGAAGGGGTTGACATGTGGACTCTGAAGTCCCGGGCTGGTCGGAGTCGTGCTGCAGGTGGACAGGTGCAGCAGCTGYGGTCAAACTGCCTCTCAGCCCTCGCTTWAAAAACAGTCAGCTGATCTGTCGCTGGTTGTTGTGCTCGTGAACACACAGTGATATATATAAAATTCTACATAATCCTCGGTGGAAAATAGTCCAGGAAACGCTGAGGGCCAGTGCTGGGTGGTATACCGTTTTGTACCGAAAACCGGCTTTTATTTTTGTTATGATATGACTTTTCTGAATACCAGTTGAAATAGCCTGAACACGTGCGGAACGTTTCGTCGCGGCCGCCAATGAACTGTTTCCCTGGGGACACGTTTCCTCGCAGCACCGCTAAGCGCATTAGCATGCTAACGTTATTGTAGGAACAACTGGCGGCGGCTGGTTTGTTTCAGCCGCTTATATGGTCTGACGTAAAAAAACATCTCGTTTTCACCATCACTGAATAGTAAACAACTCTTCAGTGACGTGCACAGTTAGATTTAACGTTATAATGGAGACGTTAATGCGTGGAGACTCTAGCGTGCTTCTATTGTGAAAAGCCCGGGGGGAAGTAGCTTTGTAATGTAGCGACATTGACTGGTGTGCAAGGTGAGTCGTCCTTTTAAGTTTTATTAACACGCAACGATAGACCAGATAATGATTTTTTTCTCAACCCTTCACGATCGGACCTAAATGCATGATTACTGTCTACAACCAGGCAAAGAAGAAAAGATGTACAAGAGGAGGGAAACAGTGATACAGAGGTAGAGTAAAAGAAAAAAGTCAATAAACAAAGTTTGTACATTTTATTATCAGCTGAGCTGTGAGGAAAAAAAATACCATCAAATACTGTGAAACTGGTGTAATTGTTGAAAATCCCTTGATATAAAATTTGGGTCATACCGCCCAGCTCTACTGAGGGCTTTCCCAGGAGGTGTTCATCTGAGCTGAGGGAAGCTGACCCCCCCACCCACAGAGAAAGGGATGGTACGACCCGCCCTGCTCTTTTCTGATTGGGTAAAACTTTGACTCTGGTTCTCTGCATTGGATAAAAGAACCGTCAGTGAGACAGTAGACATCCCTAGATGGACGGCTTTAACAAGTTTTTTTTCTCTCGTTCATTTTTACAATGACGAACAGCCACGGAGGAAAACTTTAATCGAGGTCTTTTTTCTTGGTTGTCCACCAGACAACCAGGAGGCGGGATCTGGTTGTCCGAAATGAAAATAGGTTGTCTCGGACATGATTGTGTCAACCCCTGTTTTACGTTGATCGAAAAAAAGCCTTCACTCTGAAGGTGTGGCAGCTTTTATTTAGCCGTGGCGGTGCGCCACGATCAATTACATGTAGGGGAAACCCCGAACAATCATGTAACACAGCTAGGTGTTATATAAGGAAAATACAAACTGGACCTGAAGTCAGTCAATAATTAATGACTGACTTCCAATCAGTTCAAGACATTTTGGATAACTGAATAATTATAACTTCAATGAGTTGATGAATTTGTAATTATCTTTTTATACATGTAAATTATGTTTATGTGGGCTCTTCTAATTGCAGCTAATGGCAGTGATCAGTGTCTACAGCTGGGATTATATGAYTGATGATGCATGATTGAGCCTGTGCAGCATCCTTCAATAGACATCTGTCCTGCTGTCTGAGCTGCTAGCAGCATCACTACAGCTCACAGGAGCACAACTGTTTTTAAAAGCTGTAAAACAGACGCATCATGCAGCATCACCTGAATGACACAAGTTCAGTGTCAGAGTTGTGTTGTTACACTAAGTGTCAAATGTTGTGTTGTTATACTAAGTGTCAGACGTTGTGTTGTTATACTAAGTGTCAGACGTCGTGTTGTTATACTAAGTGTCAGACGTTGTGTTGTTATACTAAGTGTCAGGTGCAGTTTGACATGTGAAGCTCTTCATGAGCTGCTGAAAACTGCTGGAGTGAAAGTGAGTAAAACTTTTGCAGTGATTTTCTTCAGAACATCATCCAGAACTGCAGGCAGGGCAGCCGGCCTGGATCAGGACCCTGAACCACCAGCAGYATCAGTCTGTAGTTCAGGGAAGTTTTACTGCCAGGTTTTCTTTTAGCTTCATTTGATTGGCAGGTTGTTTTTACCCATGATGAGACAACTTCGAGTGTCAGAGCAGGACAGGAAAAGGGATTAAACTGGCTGGGCTGCTGCTAGATTATTGGATCATTAGATAATACATGTGTAACCCACGAGGAAAACTAGATAAACTGAAACGATAAAGGTAAAAATTAGTGCTGGGCATAGAATAAAACTTTTAATTGCGATTAATCACGATTACCATATTTATTCAAGTATAATACGTAAAATTAAATCCATAAAATCATCCATAAAGTTAGGGGGTAGTACTATAC